CTACAATTTTTGTTATTATGAATATAAATATATATAGATTTGGTTGGTTCTCTTATCTTGATTGAATCTCCATGTACAACCATAATTAATGGGCGAGAGACACAATACATCCACTTTGTTCTTTAGGATCATGAGTAAGTCATATTATATTAATCAAGTTTACACTTAATTATGGATTATATGTGTTTTCCTAATGTGTGTAAGAGTTATCACAATATTCTATTTCCCTTTTCAGAGAGAGACGTTTACCTTGCACATTTTGGGAGCAATATGTTGATCAACTATTACAGCATGTCAACTATGACAACCCTAATCCAGTTGTTTTACTCATTTAGTTTTGTCATGTAAAAATGTACAACAGTAAGTTACTATTTTGTATTCACTTTTTGTTTTTTTTTGTTTTTTTGTTTTTTTTTTGGTATCTACTATTTTGGCATATTATGTGTTTCGCAGTGTTCATATTTGACAATCATTATTCTATTACTTTAGGTGAGGTTTCAATATCTAACACATGGAATGCCACCAAGATTGTGGTAGATGCAAATTGTTAAGAGATTTGTGATTTTCAAAAGCGGTAATAAATATTAACTATTTTTAAATTTATATTTATATCTGTTATTATGGTTCTTTTTGAAAGACTAGTATTCAGTCATGGACAATTATATGTTGCTATTTCAAGAGTCACCAACCCAAATGATTTGAAGATTTTGATTTGTGATAAGGAGAACCAATCATTATTGTGTGGACTATATTTTGTCTACTGTAAAATAATGTACATTGTATTCAGGGGATTTATATTATTTTTGTTCTGAGTGTACATTATATTGTGTATGTACATTCAGTACAAAAATAATGTACATTTAATATATTAAAAATGTAATTTTTGTTATGGTCCACATAACATTGTGTGGACCATGATCCACACAATAATTTGCCAAGGAGAACACCCAATGTAATTCCACAACAAACATTGTATACAAAGAGGTTTTCCAAAATTTGTAAAACTTTATTATAATATTTAGTCAAAGTATCTTTCATACACTTCTACAACGATTTTCCATTTTTTAAATTTCTCCCTTAATTCATCATATCATAATTATTGTCGTGCATCGTATAGGTAAGACACTATTACTTTTTAAAAATATAAATACCTATAATACATCGGGTTTTATAACCCACTTATTATTATTACTAGTTCTTTTACGCGCTTTGCACGAATGGAATAATGTCCAATGATTATTTTTAAATAAGTATTTCAAAGTATATCAATGCAATATTATAACGGGGATGTTTATGCATAGGTAAATGTATATTGAATTTGTTTATTTAAATCGGTAATTTAAAGTATATAAATGCAATATAATATATGAGAGATTGATTATATTGTCACTAAAATAAAATGTTTGTAATTTTGTAATAACGCTAGTCTAAATACTTAGTCTAAAAACGATAGTCTAAATAGATACTACTTTTGGTTTAAATTTTTCTAATTCTTCTTAATTCTCTTTTGGGTAGCATTGTTATTGTCTTCATATTCAGTACATATCTTTTTTTTTTTTATTGGTAGTGTGTCATGTGCAATTGGGTTACTGGTGGTAGCATAGATGGATTCATCGTGTAATGAGATTATGGTGTAGGAAGCTTTAGATTTCTTATTGTGTACTAGTTTTTTACGCGCATTGCGCGATTGGGATAATGCCCAATGTTTTTTTTTTAATAAGTACTTTAAAGTATATTAAGGTAAGATTATATTGAAATTGTTCATGCATAGATAATTGAAGGTTGAATTTGCGTATTTAAATAGGTAATTCTTCCCCCAAAGGTTGAGTCCCCAACCTCAAGGACCCCCCACACTCCGACCCGACAGAGCAGTGTGGGAAGTTGTAATTAATCACGGTGACTCAATGGTTCAGCAGAGAGGACCAAATGCCGGTGCGAACAAGGAATCTGCCCACTTTGGACATAATTCCCGCACTGCCGCCGCCGAGGTTCAAACCTTGGTCTCTTCTCCCAAATACTGCCCACTAAACCATTGAACTAAGCCCGTGCGGGTTAAATAGGTAATTCTAAGTTTACAAATGCAAGATAATATAGTCAAGATTGATTATAATTGTCAATAAAATAATTGTATAGGTATGGTTGAAACCAAATACGGGACATAAGGGAGAACAAATAAAAATTAGGGCATAAAATATTAAATATATACTAATATTGTTTGAGGAGATTTCTACATTAGGATTTGTGGTTAAGTTCTATTAAAACTTTAATATTAGAATTAGATTAATGGTGTAATTATAATTCTATATTAGACGTTAATATTAGAATTAGACTAACGGTGAATTAACGGTATCTAACGAAAAAGTTAAATGGATAATCATATAATTTACATTTGAGAAAAATAAAGACAATATAACTAATGAAAATATTTCTCTTAATTAATTTATTGATAATGAATAATTTTTTTTCACTGAATTAAGACATGGTAAGGACAATGTATCAAATATAATCAATTAATAAATTTGAATATAAAGAATTTTTATATATTGTAGAAAGATAAAGACAATATAACTAATACAATTATTTCTCTTATTTAATTTATTGATAATGAATAATTTTTTTTTGAATAAAGGCATTGTGGACACATAATTCTAAATTAAAGAAATGCATATCTATAATTTTTTGTTGTAGCTACTAAATTATTATTTATATATTAATTTAATAAGAGTAAAATAGAGTACTAATTATGCCAACTTTGATTGGGATGAGGTTCGAACCTAAGACCTTTTTTTTTATTGAAATCAATGAGTAAGTTAACGGTAAACTAACGGCAATTCTTAAAATTTTAACGGAATTAGTAACGGTGTGTGGGTATTTTAGGAAATTTTAGTGTAAAATTTAAATCTTATCAATTTTTTAATCAATCTGAGCCATTCATTTGATTAAAATCTGTGACCGCCATTTTTTCTACCCATTATAGGCCTAACTCTCTTGGGCTCTTATTAGTATAGTAGATAGATAGTAGATATGATGGGATCTTAGTTGTACTATTAACTCTTTATCTTACCAGCACCTATTGATATTTGGCAATGATAGTTTTTTCCATACATGTTTCATGCATTGTGAAATGTGTGTCGTAGGTTATAATGTGAAAGTATTGAACAAAATATTAATATTTATTATATTTGTATAAAATACTTGGTAAATAAATATATATAACATATTTTGTATTATAACTTTGATATTTAATTACAAGATAATGTAAAAAGAAACAATGGACAATGTAATGAATATAATAAATTAATAAATTTGAAGATAATAAATCTTTGAATTGTAGAAAATAAAGATAATATAACTAATGAAATTATATCTGTTTGTAATTTTATTATAATGAATAATTTTTTTTTTAAATAAAGACATTATAGACATCTAATTCTAAATTAATTAAATGCATATATATTATTTTTTGTTGTAGCTACTAATTTATTTAATTCAATAAAAGTAATAAAGTGGCATACATACTTTTCATCAACAATAATGAAATCATTAATTTTTTTTTTTAATTTACATTTGTTGTTGAGATAAATTGTTTTGGGAGTTTGTCAATGACAATTGTTACAATTCTTGTCAATAGAGGATAATAATAAATAATTCAAAATATATAGTTACAATAGATATTGTTATAATGATATGGTAAAAATTAACTTACAAATTTCTTTAGAAGATTTCATACATTAATAAAATCAAATGTGTAAACTTGTTCAATTGGAGCCAATGGGATGTCAACATTGTCAATTCTTTGAAAAATGGTCCTATCGTTTTAGAGTCCCGGTGTAATTGTATTTATGATTAACAACTTTGTAATTAGGTCGCGCTGATCATGTAAGAATAATTTTGTCCGATAAAAAAAATAATAGTATAGTATTTGTAAAGTAATGTACAATTGTATCATTATAAAAATACATACAAAAATTATTAATACCATAACGACCTAAATTATACCAATAATGCAAAAGTATAATTGAAATATTAAATTTTGTTATGATCTAAATATCAAAAGAAGATTAATTAAACGGAAAAAAAAACTTAACCTAATTTTTTTTAAATGCATAAAAATCAAATGATTTTTAAAGTTATTGATTTATAATCTTTGATACTTAACTTTGAATGTTATATGTATTTAGTCGGACTAATTATTTGACCAAAGTTTATGTTAAATTTTATATTATATATTTTTGTAATACATTTTAACAATTATGTGAACTCTAATTGAGATGTAGTCCAAACCTAATACCTTTTTTTTTTTTTTTTTTTTTTTTATAGAAATTAATGAGTAAATTAAAAATAATAAATAGTAAATAAAGAAAATTATTAAAAAAATACTAAAATCAAAATAATATGAACCATTCATTTTATTATTATTGGGTGAAGATTATTATTATTATTATTATTATTATTATTATTATTATTATTATTATTATTATTATTATTATGCGCGATGCGCAAAAAAATAGGTGCCCAATATTAATACATTATATTAAAATTTTAAATTTATTTAGATTTTAGATATTTAAATTATTCTAAATAATAATAATAATAATGTAAATCATTTTTATAAATTTGATATTTATATTTTATGTAATAATTAAGATATAACTCAAATATATAATGTGTATATATTATTATTAATGAAGAAGATAAGAAAATATATGGTGGATGCATGTGCATCGTAACAATAGTGGAAAAGATAACGGAAGTTATAACGATAGGGATATGTTTGTCCAAAATATTTTAATGTACAACCTTTATAGCATAATGTACAAAAAAACTTAACGGAAAAAACGGACATAAATTAAGAGTATAACTTTCATTCACACTTATTATGTTTTTAGATTTAGATTAGATTTAGATTTTAGATTAAATAGATTATTATTATTATTATTATTATTATTATTATTATTATTATTATTAGTTTTGGGCTGTATAATTTTTTTTTTTTTTTTATTTCCATTATTTCATATTTTGACCGCAGAAGCACAGACAGCTCCTCTGTCTCTCGTCTCTTTCGTCGCTCTCAGTCCGCCTGACCGCCTCTCTGCCTCTCGCTACCGCAGTACCGGCTACTGCTCCTCTCGTCTATTCGCCTGACCGCCTCTTTTCTGTGGCTCTGTCCCTGTCTGTGCTGCACGGTCGCACCTCGCCAGTTGCCACCAAACACGGAACACCGCCACACCGGTGACCGGTCGCCGCCTTACCGGTTAGCAGGACAGCAGGAGTCCTCGTTGGTTCCTAATTTCAGTCTCAGGTTCGTAGTTCCTAATTCACTAATTATTTTTTGCCCAAATTTTTCTAATTTTTTTGCCCTAATTTCCTTAAATCTTAGACTCGGATTTTGCCGGTGTAATGGATCTCAATTTGTTTAACTAAATGTCTAAATTACTGCTTTTATATGAATGTGAGCCGTGAGTATGTCTAATATTGTTTTTAATAAATTTTATGTATGTGCTTTTTGGATGATTATGTCTAATATTGTTTTGAATGTGAGTAGCGAGCAGCTTTTAGCCTTTTAATATTGTTTTTAAATTTTAATGTATGTGCTTTTATATGAATGTGAGCACTGAGCAGTAAGTATGTCTAATAGACTAATATTGTTTTGAATGTGAGCATTGAGCAGCTTTTAATATTGTTTTTAAATTTTAATGTATGTGCTTTTATATGATTGTGAGGACTGAGCAGTGAGTATGTTTAATATTGTTTTGAATGTGAGCGGTGAGTATGTCTATACTCGATTGGTGTTGCCATAATTTTTCTAATTTTGTTTTTGCCCTAATTTCATCTGGGTTTTATTGGTTCAGTTATGGAAAGATTTTTCAAAAGAAAATCAACTTTTGAGGATTCATCTAGTCAAGGTAGTCACAAAGTGTCAAGTACAAGACCTCGTATTGAAGTTAACATAGATGAACTTGAAGTTGATCCAGCTAAAAGAAAAAGTATATATGAATATCATATCAATGATAGAGATATTGTGCGGAGACGATATCTACAAATGGGTCCTTGTCAACCAAAAAATCATGTATTTCCTACGAGAGTGATTACGGGTGTTAATAGAAGATTTAATCCTAAATGGTTTAAAGATCATAGTAATTGGTTGGAGTATAGTGTATCAAAAGATGCAGCATATTGTTTATGTTGTTATCTATTCAAAGATGAAAGCAGTAGGTTACAAGCTGGGGCAGAGTCATTTGTTACAGAAGGATTCAACAATTGGAAAAAAGGACCGGAAAGGTTGCGTGCACATGTTGGTAATCATAATAGTGTTCACGCAAGAAACGTACAAGCTTGTCGAGACTTAATGACTCAAGAGCAACAATTGGAGCAAACGGAACAAGATTACCGCGTTCGATTGACTTCATCAGTTAAATGTATCCGGTTTCTTTTAAGGCAAGGACTTGCTTTTCGTGGAAATGATGAAAGCTACGACTCACTTAATCGGGGAAACTTCCTTGAGACCTTAAAGTTTCTTGCGGATAATAATGAAGATGTTGCCAAAGTAGTGATGCGAAATGCACTTGAAAATCACCAAATGACTTCTCCTTGCATTCAAAAAGATATAGCTAATGCAATTGCAAGTGAGACAACTGAAATAATAATCAATGATCTTGGTGGAGAATTATTTGGAATAATAGTTGACGAGTCAAGAGATATATCAGTTAAAGAGCAGATGATTGTGTTTATCCGATATGTGGATTCAAGTGGGCATATTATTGAGCGTCTTCTTGGAAGTACTCATGTTCGTGATACTACATCTATGTCTCTTAAAGTAGCCATTGAAAATCTTCTAACAAGGCATGGATTAAGCTTTTCAAGAATACGAGGCCAAGGCTATGATGGAGCAAGTAATATGCGAGGTGAGTTCAATGGACTTAGAACTTTGATTATGAATGAGAATCCAAGTGCTTTTTATGTTCATTGTTTTGCTCATCAACTACAACTAGCACTTGTGGGTGTTGCAAAGGAAAATGATGATGTTGGAGATTTTTTTGTCACTTTCTCGCAATTGTGCAATATTGTATGTGCTTCATGTAAGCGTAGAGATAACTTACAATACAAACAATTAAAGATGTTGACTGATTCAATTTCTACTGATACAATTGAAACGGGAACTTATTTGAATCAAGAAGCAGTTTTACAATGTCCTGGTGATACACGTTGGGGATCTCATTATGGTGCACTTGTGAGCATTGTGAAATTATTTTCTCCGGTGATTGATATTCTTGACGAAATAAGGCAGGATCCAAAACAAAGGCTAGAAGCATTTAGAGTATTGAAGAATGTCCTATGTTTTGATTTTGTGTTCTTTTTGCACTTAATGAAGGATGTTTTAGGAATTACCAATGACTTATCACATGCATTACAAAAAAAAGATCAAAACATTGTGAATGCCATGAGACTAGTTGATGTCTCAAAAAAAAGATTGCAAATGATGAGAGAGGATGGGTGGGAAGCTCTTTTACAAGAAGTTTCACTATTTTGCAACAAGCATGCAATTCCCATACCTAATTTGGATGAAGTTTATGTAGTTCCAGGAAGACCTCGACATAAAGTTGAAGAAAAGACTCATCTTCATAGGTACCGTGTTGAAAGGTTTTATGTGGTCTTAGATCTACAACTCCAAGAGCTAAACAACCGTTTCAATGAGAAGAATATAGAGTTGCTCTTATGTGTGGCATGTTTTGATCCAAGGAATTCATTTGCTAGGTTTGATAAGGATAAATTAGTTCGATTGGCACAGTTCTATCCAAATGATTTTTCTGATATTGAACTTGAATTACTAGATAACCAACTGCAGACTTATTTTGTTGATGTAACTTCTGATCCTGCTTTCTCTAAATTGGATGGTATTGATGAATTAGCTCAAAAAATGGTTGAAACGGGAAGACATTTGGACTATACGTTGGTGTATTTGCTTCTAAAGTTGTCTTTGATCCTACCGGTTGCAACTGCTAGTGTGGAAAGAACATTTTCTGCTATGAAGTTAATCAAGACATTTTTACGCAACCGGATGAGTGATGATTTATTACATTATTGCTTAGTGTCGTATGTTGAAAAAGATATTTTTGATCAAGTTTCAAATGAAGCAATTCTACACCGATTTCAAAAGATGAGAGAGCATAGAGGAGTATTACCCTGTAGTTCATCATACACCTTGTATGTATTGTAATTTATAATGTATTTTATATTTTAACAAGTTTATTCGTATTTGATATTTTGTATTTGAACCTTGTATTTGAACATTTTTTAATTAATTTTATCTAGAAATCTTGGCTCCGTCCCTGATGATGAAGATGATGAATTCTCTCGCGTTGGATCCCCCAACTTACACTTGGATCTTCCTGAGCAATCCGATCAACCCCACTGATGACCTTCGCCTCAAGGCAATCAAGTTAGCAATTATTCCCCTTTCTCACGGATGATCTTCCTCAAGCCTCTACGGTAAGGAACAAGTAGGGTTTAAGTTTCAAGTGCATGATAGTGTTTAGTTAACCCTGTTTGTCTCCTCCTTCAATAATTTTGTTTTGCTATTAGCTTAGAGCATAACTTTGACTGGATTTATAGGAAGAACACTTAGATTGGCTTTGTTTTTTTGTTTAATTAGGATCTAAGTGATACTCAAATATTGGATTAAATAGCATACAAGTACGGGTGTAATATTATATCATCCTCTCAATAATGCTTAACTCAATAGTCATTTCAATTTCATTTATGGAACAAGTTAGTAAAATTGCAGGACTGTTTAGACTTGAGATCATCATAAACTTTTTTAAAAAAAAAAAAAAAAGAAGCTGTTGAATTTGTGAACAATGCTCTGGATAGAGTTTAATGGAGAAAAAGGGTCTAACCAAGGTTAGACATCATGCATTGTAGTTTAGTTTTATTTAGTACATGACTTCCCTTTTAACTTTATAATTTTACTGTAAGTTCCCTTTGGTGACTACAAACACCACTAAGTGTAGTGTTTAGTATTATTTTGGTTTTGGCATCAATGCATTAACTGATTAAGTACTCATCATTTTTTAATGGATGACAGTCTTCAATTTTGTCCTATAAAAAAAACCATTATGAATGTTTATGTGTAGGTATGCATCTCCTTGTGTGCTCGAGGAATTTATTAGGTTTAATTGATGGTTTATGTGTGTATTATGAACAGATTCCTAGAGTTAATTCTTGTTGAAATTGAGGGATTGATAGGTCTGGCGGGTGGAGAATAACCACCACCCGCCAGTTAGGCGGAAGCAAAATATGCCAAAGAACAAGATAATATATTATAATGAAATATTACAATAGATTGTCTCTCTGTATATATGTTCTATACTTCAACGGACCTCTATATATACTAAACTAGATACTAAATTAGTCTAGGAAACTACTAATAAGAATAGGAAACTAAGACAACTTTCCTAATATTCAACACTCCCCCTCAAGCTGGAACATCTAAAGTTCCAAGCTTGGATTAAAACAAGCACTCTACCTCACTCAAAATTACAAATGAAAATTAAATGCAACTAGAGGATAACAATGCGAGATGGCTTCGAAGGGACAATGCGACCCTTGGGAATGAACACGCCAGGGGCAAAGCTTGTCACGAACATCCTTGGGAATGGAGGCACCAAAGGAAAACACAAACACCATCACAGCAACATAAGCACTCTAGGATGGATGACTTCAAAAAAGATTGCGTTATGTCTGACACTCTGAGTGTCTGACCCTTCCTTGGGGATGAAGATGAAGGCACCAAGAACGGAGCTGAACACAATCCTTGGGAATAAAGACGAAAACACCAAGGACCCTTGGGAATAAAGACGAAGACACCAAGGACGAAACTAAACACGATATTGGGAATGAACCCACCGAGGACGGAATTGAGCATGAACCTTGGGAATGAAGATGAACACACCAAGGATAGAGTTAAACATGAACAACCTCCCGATAACACAAGAGAGCGGTAGAGGCAAAAAGGGAGCAAAGAATAGCAAAGGACGCAAGAGCCCATAGTAGATAAAATAGCAAATGACAGTAAAGGATAGCACACCGATTGTAGATAGTCACTCTCCCCCTCACTTGAAACATGGGAAATAATCTAAGGCCTTTATAGTAGTGCTGAAACTGAACATCCATGGGATAAGGCATACCGGAGATAAAGAAACAAACACGGTTATACCAAAACACAAACACCATGGGAAAAGTTCGGCACCAAACCCAAAGAAGCCTTCAAATTTCACCAACAAGTCGAAAGAAGGGAAAAACAACAATCTGAAAAATCTCGCCGGAGGCAGACTCACGCGCCAGCGCGTGAGGACGACGGCGGTGGAGGAAAGCAATGAAATTTTCCAGATAAGGTCGCAAGAGGGAGAGGAATCCATTGGTGTAGGAGGTGAGATCACAAAATCACCGGAGAAGAGGAGATCTGACCGGAAAAACTAAAGCAGTCCGTCGGCGATGGTGGCGCGTGCGGCGGCGGATGGTGACGAGATTCCAGGCGTAGGCTCACGACGATGATCCGAGAGGTCCTGTGGTGAAAGATTTTGAGAACAACCACAAGACACGTCGGAACAGGAGAAAACAGTCACTGGTTCGCCAGAAAATAAGTGCTGCCGGAAATATTGGAATAAAAATAGCCTAGGGGTGTAAATGAGCCGAGCAGCTCGCGAGCCGCTTGCGAGCGGCTCGGTCAAAGCTCGGCTCGAGCTCGGTCAATATCGAGCTCGAGTCGAACTCGAGCGGCTCGTTTAGTAATCGAGCTCGAGCCGAGCCTAGATATTCTAGGCTCGTGGCTCGTCGAGCCGCTCGCGAGCCATATAATATATTATATATATAATAATGATATAATATAATATAATAATATATATAAATAACAATTAGAAATTAGAATTTTAAACTCAACATCCCTAAAAGATTTCTATTATTTATGTATGGGTAAAACAAAGTAGTTTGAATTTTAAACCAAAAGTATTAAATATGTCAAAATCGAGCTCAAGATCGAGCTCGAGTTCGAACTCGAACAATCGAGCTGCTCGAGTCGAGCTCGAGCAGCCCGAAAATTACCGAGCTCGAGCTCGAGCATCAGTTCCTGAGCTCGATCGAACTCGAGCCGAGCCTCCATTAACGAGCACGAGCTCAAGCCTACCCCGGCTCGAGCTCTGCTCGGCTCGTTTACACCCCTAAAATAGCTTAGAAAAGTAGGCTCTGATACCATGTTGAAATTGAGGGATTGATAGGTCTGGCGGGTGGAGAATAACCACCACCCGCCAGTTAGGCGGAAGCAAAATATGTGAGAACCAAAGAACAAGAGAATATATTATAATGAAAGATTACAATAGATTGTCTCTCTGTATATATGTTCTATACTTCAACGGACCTCTATATATACTAAACTAGATACTAAATTAGTCTAGAAAACTACTAATAAGAATACGAAACTAAGACAACTTTCCTAATATTCAACAATTCTCAGCACTGTGGACTTTGTTGTCGGGGTAGGATTGTGCCTGTTCGCCTCATGGGTGAGGTAATTGTTGTTTCTTCTAATAAATGCATATCATCATTTGAAAGAAATGAGGAGCAATCAAATTGGCATTAATGTACTAGCTTGAGAGTATAAATGCAGAAAGAATACAAAGGAGTACCAAGTGTATTTGAAATAAAGAACCTAAAGAAAGGGAGCTAGGTGGATTGATTAAAGAAATTTGGTTTTGGTCTCACGGATGTGTTGAGCTAAATCTTGAATTGTTTTAATGCATGCTTATCAATCTCTGTGATGCTGGGCTTTGGGTAATTTCCCTTAAGAGTTTAAAAAACATTGATGATTTGAAATGAAAGTATGGTTCTGACTTCTGTCCATCTCATTGAAGACAGAAAATTTGTGGTTTTGAAAAACATTAATTTTAAAGGTTGTCATTGTACTAGTCAATACATCGGGTATCCATAATCCATGCCTATGTCAATGCCCAGAACTAGCTCTATCATTCCTGCATTTCTTGAGAACCTTTCAAGTTCCTCCAAAGTTCTGTATCAAGCATTCAAGCTACTTATCCAAACAAAATGGTGTCCTCATCAGAAAGTACTAGGATATTGGTTTCGCACTAGATGGCTGAATGATAATTGTGGAAAGTTAAATGATATGTGGAAATTATATTTTATACCCATTGGTTTACTTGTTGCAGACAGTATATTAGGATCTTCTTCTGTGGAAGTTTTGGGAGCATCTGTAGCAACCGTGGTTTATCTGCTTGGATTAGAATTCTCTTGTAGGTGAGTGGTTATATATCTTCCACTGCTTTCATCCTTTTCTTAAATCCCATTGTTAAAGACATTATCTCTTTCAACTCTGAGGATTAATCTTTAGTTTTGTATTACACAGGTAGCTGTAGGGATATGGTTCTCCTTTTGGTTGAACACCACAGACATATCATCACCTTATGGCATGTATACGCTCTTGTAACTATTTAATCAACCTTTTTTCTGATGGTAACTCACATATCTATTCTCGTATGACTGGTTAAGATGGAGTCTTGTATGCACAAGTGCAGTTTTTATTTTTTATTTTTTATCGTTTTGGTGTTCAATCATATATTTCATTCTGTAGCCATGACCTTCTTAACTGCTTCTACCCTTGTGGAAACTTGGGATCTGTAGATGAACTATCTAATGTTAACTCGAATGTGTCTAAGTTTTGAACTATTGCAGTATAATCATATATGTTAGACCATTTGTCTTGTCTAAGGAATTTAAATGGGAGAAAAAGTAATGACATGAATATTTCAGCATTGCTGTCAATTGTGTGTTTGAAGCCTTGCCTCCTAGAATGCCTTTTCTTGAATACATTGTGGAGTTGTTCCAAAATAACTATTTCTTCATGGAATCTGTATATGTGCAGTTTGTACCATTTTGGCATATCAATAAATTTTCAGATTCATTTTTCTTATTTTTTCCTTGGTTTCCTTTGTGTGCGTTGGGCAAAGACAGAAATATGAATAATTTTGAAATGAATGACAAAAATGGGAAGTTTTAAAAAGTGAACAATTTCTGGAAAAACTCATTTGGGACATGCGTTTCTGATCAATTCCAAATAAGTATCTTGAAATTTTTGAAAACATTTTTTTTGTATAGTTGGTCAACATGAAACTTGCGTTTCTCCCAAAATCACCAGAAAGTTGTTGCCCGCGGAGAACATCAGAAATGGCGGATTCGTCAGCTTAGCAGGAGCCATACTTCTTTCTTTTTCCCTTGAATGCATACTTTCTCCCAGAGCCATTGATGTTCAGTTTGACAAAGTTGCCTTCATTAACACATTTAGGCTTTTCACAGGCAATGAAGCAGAAGAATCACGCCCAATCAGATTAGGAAACCTCTTTAGAATTTTCGCATAATTTCCAGAAGTAGCAACTCTTGTTTCCGATTCTCACCGGCTTAACTCTGCTCCAACATTTCATTTCCATCTTAGCTTTCTGGTGATTTTGGGAGACCGTTTCACGTTGACCAATCATTAAAAAAAAATATTTTGAAAAATTTTAAAAAACTCATTTGGGGCTTTCCTTTTGACAAGAAACACATACCCCAAATGAATTTTTCCTGAAAGTGTCCACTTTTTAAAACCTTTCTATTTTTGTCATTTATTTCAAAATTTTTCCTATTTCTAGTCTTTGACCCTGTGTGTGTTGGGGTGCTAAAGAATTGGGTTGCTTGACATGTAGAGAAATGAGTGGGTCCTAAAGCGTACGTAATTAGTGGGTCGATTAACGACCACCATAATGATGGTGTAGCCATGCGATAAGGGTAGATCCATGATAAAGTCCATCATTAATTCATCCCAAACTTGTTCAGGCACTAGAAAGCCAGAAAGGGTTACTACAACTTGGGGTGAGCGTAGAGTGGATTTGAGGTGAATCTGCATCTAATCCGTTAAAGGTTGATTTGAAAAATCTCATCCACAACTGGATCTGTTAGGGGTGCAGGTCTAATCCAATCTGATCCACTAATAGCGAATTTGGTGGATTGGATGCAGATCAAATGATGAATTTTAAGTTTGACATTAAACAATGTTCATTCATATTGTAATTGCGATGTCGTGAAGAACGCTTGGCAAAAAAAAAAAAAAAAAAAAAAAAAAAAAAAAAAAAACAAGGCATAAAGTCAAAATTTGGAAACGACAATTGAGAAAGAGAAACCTAAAAACCTAGGCTAAATATAGAAAAAGTAAAAATTAAAATTGAATTATAAATTTAGATTTGTGCTCACCTGCCATAGTACAATCAATAGTGAATTACTAGGCTAACACACACACACATGTAATTTTGGTAGCGGATAGGATATAGCGAATTTTGAGAAGTCACATGACTCACATCTATCTACAATCCACTAGTGACAAATTTATATTAAGTGGATTCATATCTCATCCACTTTAGGGGGGGGGGGGGGGGGGGGTAGGGTTTGGGGCAATACTCTTGCATGAAAACTTGGTAAAGTTTCTCCCAACTCTTGAAGTGACTAGAACTAAAGGCATTCAACCAATTAAGGGCTTGATCCTTCAAAGAAAATGGAAATAATCGGAGTTTAATTGATTGCATCCATCAATACCTCCCCTCACAATCGTTATATCGTGCACCATGGCGCATAATGCATTGTGCGCCCTGCTTGCCCAAAACGACGTCGTTTTGGTAAGTTGTGTGAGGAGTTGATGCGATGGAGTTTGTGTATTCTATTATACAATTATGTACATTCTATTATACGATTATGTACATTCTATTATACAATTATGTACATTTGAAACATGAGATTTCTTTTAAGAGTTAAGAGTTTATGTGTATTATGTCAAGAGTTTATGTCTATTATGTTAAGAGTTTATGTTTATTATGTATTATGTTAGATTATGTGTATTATCCTTTCAAAAGAGTTAATGTGTATTCTGTTATACAATTTGTACATTCTGTTATACAAAATCCAACGCATTATGTGTCCTGGTGCACGATATAATTTACCACTCCTCTCATCTTAATCGCAAATTATGCCATGGTGCACAGGGTTGTAAAACGGCGTCGTTTTAATTAAAAATGACGTTGTCCGACTTAAAAAAAAAAAAAAAAAAAAAAAGAATTCATTGTCGATTGCTGTTAACGGCGTTATGATGTGCATAATTTGAACTTTATATCCAGAATTAATGAACTATATATCCAGAATTAATGAATTATATATCCAGAATTAGTGAACTATATATATCCACACCGGTTACTAGTACTCTGTGTTGGCTTATAGCAGTTCGCTGCGTCTGTGTATTCAGAATGAATAAACTATATATTCATAATTAATGAACTATAAATTCAGAATTAGTGAACTATATATCCAGAATTAATGAATTATATATCCATATTTAATGAACTATATATCCAGAATTAGTGATGAACTATATATCCACATCCAGAATTAATGAACTACATATCCATAATTAATGAACTATATATCCAGAATAAGTGAACTATATATCGAGAATGAGTGAACTATATATCCACACCGGTTACTAGTATTGTGTATTTAGAATGAATGAACTATATATTCATATTGGTGGAGTTAAAAAAAAAAATCTGATTGGTGGAGTTAAACGGTGCCACTAACGACACCGTTACTCCACCAAAGTGAAACGGCGTCGTTCGCAACTGTGTGCACCATGCATGGTGCATATGTAAGTATTTCCCCTAAATACAATATATTATAATATATTGTATTATTGGGTGGTTGTGGTGCAAGTAGGAGATTAAGTCAATTGGTGACTTAATCTGTTAGGTAACTGAGGATATTCAGGGTTTAGCTTAAACTGAATATCTGCCTATATTGATGACATGTAGGCTTCTAAGCAAAAGAGTCCTCCCACAGCTCCCATGTTCAGAATACACGCACCATCAGGTATTCGGGATAGAAGTGGTAGACAAAACACTACCTTTATTCTACAGGTTTACCATCCCGTGGCAACACTAACAACTATGGCAATGGATATTCAGAGGATCCTGAAGCTTCCGCTACTACGAGTCAAGTTACTCGTTACTTTAGTTTATGTTAGTCAATTTATTATCTAACATTTGGTATTAGAGCCCTAAAAATCTCTACCTAGTTGTTTGTATTATTGAATACGAAATCTGTTTTTTCATCGAAAACTATTGTCATATACATTGATTTTTAGTATATGTTGTTTTTCGAAATTTTGTTCGGCTTGGAATTTAATTATGTGCATTAAGAATGATTAATTTCTTTTGGATATAGAAATTGTTATTTTTTGGGGGAATAAGGGTCAAATAGGCCATTGAACTGCACACAATAATTCAATTAGGCCACTGAACTTAAAAACCCAACAATTGAGTCCCTAAACTAACCAATTTTAAACAATTCTTCCAATTTGAAGGTTTCCAACAAGTCAACAGGTCTTTATTCCAAATTAATTATTTTTTTTAAAAAAAATAAATTATTAGTTATTTAAATAATAAAAAAAAAACAGGATTCCGGCCATGGAGACGAGGAGTTTCTTCTTCTCCATGGTTGGAGACAAAGAAACCGGCCGGAGTCATTTTTTTTAATAATTAATTTTAAAAATTTATTTTTTAAAAATAATTAATTTGGGAGGATGACCTGTTGGAAACTTTCAAATTGGAAGATTTGTTTGAAATTGGTTAGTTTACGGACTTAATTGTTGTTTTTTTAGGTTCAGTGGCCTAATTGCATAATTGTGTGTAGTTCAATGGCTTATTTGACCCTTATTCTTTTTTTTTTTGGGGAACTAACCATCGCCGGAATATCTCTTTTTTTCTCCGTTGTGGTTTTTGTTTTCCGTCGCATATTACGAGACCCCAAATGATCGCCGGTGTTCCGGATTTTTCGGCGATCTCCATCGACGGTGAGCTGGGCGACGTCAGGCGTTGGTCATTGGCGTCGTCCTCATGATCAGTGGCGATGCGGATGCAGGAGAACCGCTCCAGCGACGCGAAGAAAGCCGTGGTGACGCGGTTGAGGAGCCACATGGTCACCCCGTCGATCTTGCCGCAGGTGGGAGACGAGGAGTGGCGGACGACGGCGGCGAAACTGGAGTTGCAACGATGTTGTATGGTCGCCACTGCTTCCTTCAGGTAGCCGTTACTCCTAGCGACGCAACTAAGGGCGAGCACGACGGCGGGCGGCGACGAGCAGCGAGGTGTCGCGACGAAGACAGATGGCGAAGGCGTTGCACGGGCTTCCGGCGACGTGGCGGCGTCGCGACAGAGGCGTTGGCGGATCTGGACCTGTGACGAGGAGAGCCGGCAGAGGCGAGCTGGACTCTCCGTTGACGTCGCTTCATCTCCCCTTCTTCAAGCGGCTACTGCTGCTTCGCTGATTTTCCAGCGATGCATGGAAGAAGACGAAGGAGACGGTACATTCCCTATTAAAGTGCAACTGCAAATTATCCTTTTATTTACCATATATTTATTTGTCTTATTTAATATTACTTATTAAATTATGGTAAATAGTAATTATATTAAGTTCAATATTGCCATATTAATATTACCTAATTTAATATTGTATATTATTTTTATGACAAATGGTAAATTAATGGTAATTGCTTGTTTTGAAATAATGATCCCCTTTAGTTATTCTTTAAATTTTGGCATTAAAAATTTCACATTGAGATTAATTATGACATTATTTGTGATTGAATTATTGCCATTATTATTGTCATTACAGTAATTATTCTCACAATTAAATTATTATTCATTTTTGAACAAATATTAAGTTTTGATTTTCTATTTAAATTTTAATTTAATATTGAGAGTTATATTAATTCCCTTTAGTTTCTTCTTAATTTTAGCATTAAATTCATAATTAAA